TGCTGCGCATCTGCGCAGCTAGCAGCTCCACACCTTAGCTGGCCAATCCCTGAGTTTGCCTTCCAACCTTTACCAAAAAAAAGCTTGCGTTTCAACTTTACTTCAGCCTTTCGCTAACCTTTCCACAACAATTGCTCATCAAAGCCAAGGGGCTTGCAGCCCACACATCTTGTTCACTACCACACGGGCCCGGACGCTTGCACGCAACCTCTAGCCAAACTTCTTCTGGCCGGCAATCGCCTGCTGAAGACACTTCGCTTGCCGAACTCCCGCCGTCGTCCGACGCTGCGTCCATGTCTGCGCCGGCAAAATCTGACGTTGCATTCGCCTCGGGGGGCTGCTGCGGAGCTGCGACTCCGCAGTCACCGCCCGCGCACTCCGGCTCGCAGCCTGGCACCGAAGCTTCTGCCGTCTGCCTGCTGCCTGCCGCCGCCTCTAGACCTGCCACAGCGCCCGCATCGAGTTCGCTGTCAGGCTGCATCTCCTCCAGCGAACACATGTTAGGCAGCCCTTGTAACACGTCCCGCGGCAGTAGGGCGTCGTAGTGCACGCCGACGCCTATATTGCTCACGTGGTTGAACATTCGCAGCTCCCTCCGAGTCCGTGGATCCTGCTGGGCTTCAACCAGCATCACAGCTGCTTCTTCAGGTCGAATGTCCTCGCTGTCAAACCGCGTGTACACGACTAACTGCCACTCCTCAGCCAAAGCGACGGGTACGCGAAACGAATCCAAGAAAAAGGTGAATGCGAGAGGCGCGTGCATGTCACTTTGAAGATACGCCTGCGCGTGTTCCTCGTCAGTCGCAGCGAGCACGCGACCCTGTGCGTCTCGCTGCTTTGGCCGAAGTCGTTCTTCGACGGACTGCGTCAAGTGCTGCCTGCAGCGAGAACATGCGCGGCTGCGGGCCACGCTATCGCGGAGCAGCGCTTTGTCAAGCAAGCCTGCTCCCGACATGCACAAAAGCAGTGCATCCAAAAGGCAGTTGTTCCTGCCGTGCGCCGAACTCGGGCATAACTGCCAGCCTGCCGCAGCAAGCTCTTCAATGCGCGCCTCGTTGGTTTTCAAGCATTGCGGTGCGTTCGCCGCATGGATGCGCAGGAACCGCTCGACCACGGCAGCACAAGACTCTGCAGACTCTTCTTGCGCATCCAGCCAACCACGCCAAGTGCTCACCCAGTCTTGTTCCAGTAACCGTTGCACTTGTGCCGCTGAGCCTATGGCCTCAAGAAGTATGCGTGCCGCGAATGGTGGTACTTGCATGGGCGCCGATCCTGCGAAGTTCGGATTGTTGCTCTTGTTGTTGCGCTTGTTGTTGTTGCTGTTGTTGCTCTTGTTCTTGCTATTGTTGTTGTTTTCTTGTTGTTGTTGTCGTTGTTCTCGTTCTTGTTGTTGTTGTTGTTGTTGTTGTTGTTGTTGTTGTTGTTGTCGTCGTCGTCGTTGTTGTTGTTGTTGTTGTTGTTGTTGTTGCTGTTGTTGCTGTTGTTGCTGTTGTTGCTGTTGCTGCTGTTGCTGCTGTTGCTGCTGTTGCCGTGCCAGTTACTGTGCCTGTTTCTCGTTCTGGGCAGCTTGTTTCTGCGGCTTGAGCCTCCGAGACACTGCCCGTGTCACAACTGCAACGCCGACGCATCTCCATGCCCAGTTTCCGAGCCCAACTGGGGCTCTGCGACGCAGAACTTTTTTCACGTGAAACATCACGCCATCAAGTGTCCGGACGTACTGGCGAGTTTGCGACAAGCGAAACACTGGCAGCACGGCATCTGTTTCACGTGCTACCGACCATTCCGTGGTCGTGGTTTAGCGCACGCCGAGCACGGTGGGTACGCGCATGCCAAACACAGCGTGCCTGCTCGCTACTGTCCTCGCTTGCCGCTTTGGCCGCGAGCGCCTTGCATGCAGGCACGGTGGGTTCGCGCGCCCTTCTTAAAAGCCTGCACAGGCACGCGTGTCTCGCACGCGCGACATTGTTGCTCTGCTAGCTGCAAGTGTTCGGTCACTTGCTCACACACGACGCACCGCATCCAGCTGAGCTCCTGTCGTCACGGACGAGCGCGTTCCTCTCCCATGCACTCCTTTTGGTCGCGCGACAGAACGCCATCTTGCCCCGTTCCGTACCCTGGGGCCGGCACCGCGCTCGCGGACCGATGGTCTTGTCCCGATCCGTGGCCTGGGACAAGTGCAACCTGCCGCAACGCGCGCCCTGCCCCGGTCCGTGGCCTGGGGCAGGCACCGCGCTCGCAGTGCGAAGATCGTGTCCCGATCCGTGGCCTGGGACACGCACACTCTGCTGGTACACGCGCCTTGCCCCGGTCCGTGGCCTGGGGCAGGCACCGCGCTCGACGTCCGAAGATCCTCTCCCGATCCGTGGCCTGGAACAACTAGAACCTGCCGCAACGCGCGCCCTGCGCCGGTCTGTGGCCTGGGACAGGCACCGCGCTCGCCGTCCGAAGATCGCGTCCCGATCCGTGGCCTGGGACAAGCACACTCGGCTGGAACGCGCGCCCTGCCCCGGTCCGTGGCCTGGGGCAGGCACCGCGCTCGTGGTCCGAAAGTCTTTTCCCGAACCGTGGCCTGGGACAAGTACAATCTGCCGCAACGTGCGCCCTGCCCCGGTCCGTGGCCTGAGGCAGGCACCGCGCTCGCCGTCCGAAGCTCGTGTCCCGCTCCGTGGCCTGGGACACGCACACTCTGCTGGAACGCGCGCCTTGCCCCGGTCCGTGGCCTGGGGCAGGCACCGTGCTCGCAGTTCGAAGATCTTGTCCCGATCCGTGGCCTGGGACAAGTGCAACCTGCCTGCCCCGGTCCGTGGCCTGGGGCAGGTCCCGCGCTCGCAATCCGAACTCTGACTTGTTGGTCGTGGCCCAGGACGAATTACATCTAGTCTCCGAAGCATGCGATATGAACCCGTGCTACTTTTTACTCATAAGCTTCCGTCGCGCTTCCACAAAGCTTCCGCGGACCAACCCTACACTGAGTTGCTGGTAACCTAGGCTATAACCCACTTATCAAGTCTGCGGTTAACCTTGTTAGAGTATGACATACCCCAAGCGGCTGACCGCTTGACTGCTCGAGTCGAACACCCAACACTGGATTTCGGTGTTCCTGACCCTTCCCTCAAACTAGGCTGGGCCGAGGCGGGCAACGCGAAGCGTTTACAATTACTGTTTTGGTTTATGTATCGATTTCTCTATGTATTTGAGTGTAAAGCGTTTGGCCTATTGTTGGTGTCATGTCGTTCTGTGATTTATTGTTGTTCTTGACAACTGTGCCTGATGATGCTTCTTTTCTTGAGGTGTCTCCTTGACGTTTAGTGTATTTATATCTGGCTTGAAGGTCGTTGCGTGTACTATGCTGTGTCTTTCAATCTTTCTTTTTTCCGTTCCCGTTCTATGTATCAATTTATTTCTTTTAGTTTCTCCCTTAATCAGTGTATTGATGCTGTTCTACACTGCCAGGACAAAAGTTGCGCCTCTTAGGCCTTCTCAGAGAACACAACCCTTTCCCCCTAGAATCCTGCAAGGTGACGCTGGGTCATTCGCGGTCGAATTTTCACACTCCAAAACCTTTAAAGTATTTTAACCTAAAAGAGGGTGATAATTGACCGTCCCATTCCTGCCACACGAAACCGAATTCGAAATTCGACCCGCGGGCGATCCATACGGCTTCGCAGAAACCAGCAAGAGGCAGAAACTTTCGTCCTCCTGATGTATGAGTTGCGCCTTTCTCTGGTTCTCCTTTGCTGTTTCTTTTGTTATTGCCGATTCCGATCGTTTTGTTTGTCTGTAACTACGCACGTTCTTCAATTTCGGTCTTTCTTGGCCTTTATGTTCCTTTTTCCGTGATTTCTTGATTGCGTCTTGTTTCTTGTGTGCATGGGTTCAATCTTTACATATTTGCTTCTTTCAGTATTCACGTTGTTCCGTTCTTTCATTGCTGGCTGGCTAACAGTTGCAGCAATGACAAGTCAACAGGCCGCTCTGCGTCGCTTGGCCTTTGGCCACACCCTCGATGATCAGAGCCAGGAGGACATTTGGATTTTCATGGCAAACAGGATCTTGCATAGCTCGACTGCTTATCTCTTTGCCACAAAGGTTGCATTGCCCAACCATTGGCGCACATGTTGCAATGTCAGTCTTAGTGGTTCGCTTGGAGAGCATGGCTCCCGCCATGGTTCGTAGCAGTTTTGACTGTAGGCAGCATCTTGCTGCCTTTATATCCTCTACACCAGTAGGCAAACAGGCAAACAGGCAAACATGGTGCGTGAGCTGGCCGTTTTTTTACAGCATCCCAAGGGAAGGTGGCTCCTCGAGATTGAAATGTTTGTTGAGGCCGGAGTGTATGGCACTGACGCAAAGAAGAAGCAACTGCTCAGCGTTTCGGCTGAGCGTGGATCACTGCACGTGTGGCCGGGCGAGCCAGCAAAAAGCTGCAGTACTTTGCCTATCCAAGTGATCAATACATGCCAGGGCTCATCCTTCTTCGGTTACCAGCTGAATTGTCAAAGCGGAGTTGAGCCTCAATTGGAAGCTTGCATCGCAAGCCTGGCATTGAATCGCCAAGCTCCTTCCACTTTGGCGGCTGACTTTGCTCAAGCAATTGTGGACCCAATATGAACCAGGGCATCGAGGCTCCCAGGATTACACACAACCTTAGTCTTTTTGAACGCCGTACGTGGTACCAACTTGTGCAGGCCCTTTCTAGGTTTTACCTTTTGGCCTTTTGGGAGCCCCTTGCCCAAAGGCTCGGTACCATTTTTCGGGTTGCTTCACCACGTAGGAAACCCACGATAAAACCGCCAACGTTGGGTCCATTTAGAGACACGCCAACGTCCGCAAGGTAAGCCCTGGCCTTTGGGCCCAGGGGGGGGCAGGGCTGTCCCGGAAATGAGCTTCCCAGCTCTCACCCAAGTCTCTCAAACTTCGGAAAACCCCCTGGCAACCCCCCCAAATGGCTTGGCTTCTCAGTTTCCCATGGCCAATTGGGAAACTTCCCCTCGAAACGCCTGGAGCTTCTCCGGATCCACCGGCTTGAAGGAGGAGAAGTCCATGGGCGCCAGGATTTGCTGACGCGGCGGAGAAAAGAACAAGCCGTCCACCCGGAGAGGAGTGCCCTGGAAACATTCGGCTGATTGACTCTGATTGACTCCAAGATGAAAGTGGGACCCGTCCCAACACGGATGGGCAAAGTGGGAGGGAACCGGTTTGGTCCTCCAACATGGGCATCCAAGTTGCCTTCCTTTTTGTTGAAGCTTAACACAACCCGAAAAGGGGAACACCAAGAAAAGAAAGATAACTCAAACAACACCCAACTCATGGCCATTTCCCACCTGCATCGTCCGCGGATCCGGGAAGTCGCCCAACGGAATGCCCTTCTGCATCGAGATCTGCATACATTTTGCACAAGAACTGGGCTTGCGGGGAGGGTCCAGCGAGCCTCTTGGTAGATGTTTGGCAAGTCTTGTATCATGCGCTCTTGTTCTTTGGCGTGGCCAAAGAACGTGGGCATCCGCTGATAGAAGTAATCCTGGGGCGGATCCGAGCAGAATGGGATCTAGACTCTTCAAATGACTCGCGATGAAAGGACTGGGCAGCTATACTGACACTGAGAGACCAGCCAGCAAGAACGCATGAACCTTTGCCAAGCGAGCTCGCTTGATTAAGTCCTTGGCAAAATGCATTCAGCACATGCAAGAGCTCGGGAATCAGACAAAAGCATGATTTGCAAGGTCGAGTTGGGGAACAACCTCAAACATGATTGGTGGACATAAATCCCAATGTAAACGATGGCGCGCTATGGCTAAGCTCGACGCGTTGACTTTTCTCAGTGATGCGCTGCGTGGCAGCTGCGCAATCTTGGTGTACAAATCATTCTCCTGAATCCGCTTCCAATTTCAAATCCAACGATGGCAAATCCAAACAAACAACCGCTTGCAAACACGAACGCAGCGGTAGGTGGGATCTTCTGCAGAAGGCATTCCAGGCAATATAGTACCAAATAGCCACGCACATCATCCACAAATCTCTCCTCTTGCTCGAAAAGCTCGCGCAGCTTCTCGTTCTTCAGTGGTTGATCCCAGAATGATCCTCAGATTGGGGGTGTTCGGCACTCTATGGTCCAAAACACATTCTGGCGTGCATCCTGCGCAAGGCGCATGCTGCCAAAACATGTCCTGCCTTCGGGTCATTCTGGTATGACTTCGTCCATAGCCAGCACCACAAACAATTTGCATGCATCACAATGTGGGTTCAACGCAATGCAGCTTGCACAGGTGGGCAAGCGTACGTGGCGTGACTTTTGGGGGCAGGTTAAGGAAATTGAAGGCAAATTGAATCGCGCGTGCGCGCTTGTGCGTGCGCGTAAAGGGCAAACACGTTTTGTTGGGGTCCGCCTATTTTGACGCACCCTTTTTGTGACACCATACGCAGTCCACATCCATTCACTGGGGTTTAATGAATCAGACGACCAACGCACAACAAGGAACAAACAAACTACCCTCGCAGATTGACATAGAACCTGGTCCTGGAAGACAACTTTCCATTTAAAGTGCGTGTGCGTGTGTGTGTGTGTGTGTGTGTGTGTGTGTGTGTGTGTGTGTGTGTGTGTGTGTGTGTGTGTGTGTGTGTGTGTGTGTGTGTGTGTGTGTGTGTGTGTGTGTGTGTGTGTGTGTGTGTGTGTGTGTGTGTGTGTGTGTGTGTGTGTGTGTGTGTGTGTGTGTGTGTGTGTGTGTGTGTGTGTGTGTGTGTGTGTGTGTGTGTGTGTGTGTGTGTGTGTGTGTGTGTGTGTGTGTGTGTGTGTGTGTGTGTGTGTGTGTGTGTGTGTGTGTGCGTGTGCGTGTGCGTGTGCGTGTGCGTGTGCGTGTGCGTGTGCGTGCGTGTGTGTGTGTGTGTGTGTGTGCGCGTGTGCGTGTGGGTGTGTGTGTGTATGTGTGTGTGTGTGTGTGACACATATGCATGTAGCAAACTGAATTCAGTATGCAAGTGGCCGACATAAACGCGGGCCACCTCCGGAGTGTCAATCACTTTGCCCAAGGACCACATCAGGGCCTCGAGTTCGGATTTCTTGAAATCCATGCAACCAGCTGACTGTAAAGCTGATAGGATTTCTCGAAATTGTGGTCGCTCATGCTTCGTCGGTCGTCTTGATTTGCCGTCAAGGGGGTCCACCATTTGAAGAAACCCACAGCGCTGAATGCTGAGGTTCCCGGCGCCATAAACGCGCATGAGCTGCTGCGTGGTCACATTGTCAGCTTTGTTTAGCAGGATACAGATCTTGTGGTCGTTGCCCTTGGTCGCCTGAATCACTCTCCTGGCATCGTGCCAGTAGTTTCGCCATGCCAAGCAGTCTGGTCCTTTGACTCATCCAGCAAACTCCCGTGTCCTGAACTCGTCACTGATGTCTAACTTTGAGACATCGAACAGTAGAAGAATCATGTCCTTGGCTTGTGCAAGTTGTGCGACATGGTCCGAGCTGAGGACAAGTGTGCACACCAATAAACCTCGCTATGAGCCTGCGCAACCAAGGACCCTACCAATAAACGTCAGCCTGCCACTAAACACTTTCGATAGTGTCGTAAGGGAAAAAAAACAACAAACAGAATCCAACCAATTTCAAGGGTCCTTGATTTTGGGACACACCCATGTTGTGCCAATGCCATCTGAGCTTTGCGCAACTCGGTCGGCAAACCACTTCACCACTGCTTCGAACTCGTAGCCCCTGCGCTTGACAGAACAGCTCGCGTGGGGACTCCAGCGTCACACGACCCAGGATCGGCCAATAAGTTTTTCTGGGTTCCCACACTTCGCCCTTTGAACATCACCCCAGCAACGAAATTCCCTTAGTAACGTTTCTCCATTCGAGTGTCAAGTGGAGGGTTGGGCTGCGCTTTTGGCCATTCCCAAGCTCATGGGTCAAGTTGTCAAAGCTGTCTGCGCAACCCGAGGCTAGCCAAAGAGTGTGGGGGGGGGGGGTAGATTTCTGTTCCTGGTAAGTCCCGGCTCGCAGAACCTTCCCCATTGCCTTCTCCAGGCCCCGGCTCGTTTCTCCGAATCAACTCCAAAGAGCTTCAACCATGCCTCGTTCTACACGGACCTCAAATGGCTGGTCTCATGCTGGTCGTTTGAACCGGCCCACTTGCTGGTTCCATACCCAACTGGCAACCCTCTGCCAAAATCGGGCGGCCCGCATTCGCCTTTGCCCTGGAAATCTGCTGGAAAAGGCTACACATTCCGTTTTTGTCGCCGCGCGAGTAGTCTTTAGAGAAGTGGACTCTTAAACGCCCGGGCTCGCTGGCTGAATCTTTGGCCTCTTGATGCGCTGCTTCTCCCCGGACAGGACGCCGGGGGTGTCGATCAGAGTCAACCTGCGCAAACGTGTGGACCCTGCGAGATGGGGGACCCCTTCAGGTGAGTCACAATCAAAGCCACCAAACGAGTCGACCCAAAATCATAGAAAGCTTCATCAGCTCAAGTCGTCAACAGGAATCCACCCCTCGAGGGAAGCCGCCGAAAGGGAGCCATGCTTGATTCTAACAGGACAGATGGTTGGTCTCATGCTGGTGATGGTTTGAACCGGCCCCGTTTGGTCCATACCCCGCATTCGCAGTTGCCCTGGATTTCTGCTGGATTCCACTTGGTCTTGAGAATCGCCCAAGACCCATCTAGATTCTCTACTGGCACTTAACCAAGGAGTTGCCCCTTGCTAAATTGTCCAACTTAGAAGCGGAACCAGCTTTTGCCCCGGACTGTCCTAGTGTGACAATCTGGCATCAGTCTCATTTAATTTCGGCTCCCTTTACCACCCATAAAGGGTCAAACTACGGCAACACTCCCAAGGCACAAAACTGAGAGCCTTTAAGTCCCGGGCCCCTCAAGCACTGGGCTCGCAAGACGCGAGGCTTCCAATCTGCTGAGGAAGGCATTGCCGAAGTGACTCAGCCTAAGTGTGGAGGGCAAAAACATCCAAAATACCTGCTTAGGGCAGAAACAAAAACATCAGCCCAACTGAACGCTTGTGGGGCGAGGGGTTGACATCATCCCGGCAAAAAGAACCAAAACAAGCAGCCACCAGCGCCATCAAGTTGTCTGTCGGGTTCTTGATGTTACCGAAAAAGAAGTGACACATGGCATAAACAGTCTGAATCAGCTAGGCAAAAACATACCTTCTATTGGCAGGAAAAAAACAAGTCTCTTGTTGCAAAGGCGGCTACCCGCGCCACTGTTGTCTTCGGCAACAAACATCTGATTAACAAAACCAATGCCGAGGCTGCCAATGACATGACTCAAATACTCCAGGGATTTGTGGCAGACAACAATGAATGCCCCAACATCATTGAGAATGGAACTAGGGACTGGGACTGAAGACTTGACCAGACTAGGACTAGAACCAAGGATCTGCATATGGGCATTAGCTGACGCTAGGGGGGGATTTGTCTGGGGATACCACACCCCGAAAAGGAACCGAATGTTTTTGCCTATCCAGGATCCTGTGACTTTTTGGGGGGTCCTCTATTGTGGAAAGTGCTGCCGGAAACAAAACAAACTGGCAACAAATCTGGGCAAATAAACACAACAAGCCGGGCGCAAAAGACGGGCAAACAAATCCGGGCAAACATTTGGAAGTCCATTTTGCCAGTGGTCCCCAAACCATCAAATTTAAGATACTTCTTTGCAAACAGTCACACAAAGGGGGTCGCCCACAAGGGGCCCTGATCCTTCTCAATGTGACTGCTTTGCGGTCCTCTTTAGTGTCCAACTGTGTTTGGGGTTGCTGAAATTCTTATGCTAAAGCCTTAGCCTTTCACTTGTGATTCACCTAACCAAGCTCTTCCCAGCTTAACGGGTAAAGGCCTTGGATCTAGGAAGTCCATTTTGCCAGTGGCCCCCAAGCAATCAAATTTAGGATAGCTTTGTTTAATAAAAGAGTAAGGGCAAACATTCGCACAAAGGGGGTTGCTGAAACGAAGCCCCTGTCCCCACCCTCGCTTTTTGCCTCTGTCCCCAAAGCCCCCGAAAAGGCAACCAACACTGCCAACACGGATGAATTCTCTCAAGAGGCAGGTCCCTGAAGAGGGGGGGACCAAATCAAACATACACACACATACAAGCTTACAACATCTTATAACAAGCGTATATGCATATGCATGTCCATATTGGTCCCCCAAGACTTGCTTCACTTCACTGAGCTGGCGGCTGCGTGAATGGCAGCTCAGTGTCCACCACCAGAGCATTGCCAGGGATCCTGGCGCGTCTTTGCCGGGGAGAAAGGGCTCAACGGGAATCTGGTTCGCGCAAAGTTTGAAGGCTTAAGGGAAAATGGTTTAAGGAAAATCATCCTTTTCAGGATGGCTTAAAGGAAAACCAAAGGGACGACCAATTGTGTATTCCCCCCTATCTTGACGCATGCCCTTTTGGACAAATGGTAAATAAGACCAAACTGAAATCAGTGCCATCCCGCTAATTAGCCAAACTGACCTCAAATGATGCCCACACATCGCTCTGCTAATAGTATCAAGCATCCACCACCCCTGGGTCACCTGGCAGTAACCTTCTTAGCATTTCAACCTGACAGGCGTTTACAAACGGAAGCGGATGTTGGTCATATGCCAAAGCACTGCTGCAAGCTTCCATGACCAGTTGGAAGCACGCCCATGTGAATGATTCTTGAAGGGTAGGTCTTGCATGCCTCCAGTTCTTAACTGGTCTCTGTCCTCAGATCCCCTGCAAAAGGTCTAACTTTTAGTGGGTTAAATGGAAACCCTACCTCTAAACCAGCTAAACAAATAACAACAAACTAAAGCACCTAAGGAACCGGACGGCAACCACCACATTAACATGCCGGCCTGGCGTTGAGTCCGATGCTCCATGTAAAACGCAAACAAAGCGGTCGGTGGTTGGCTCCGGCCCGATTCGCATGCCGGGATAATCCCGCTGAAGCAGGTGGCGGATGAATGTGGTTTTGCCTCGCAAATCGGCTGTGCAAAACCAGAGCGTCGCTTTCGAGCATTGGGAAGCCCATGTTGGATGAAAGTAAATCCAACAGTGCAGCCATGGTCTCAAGTCCTTGACAGGAATCACACCATAGGTGTTTTCTTTGGAGGAGCCCCGATTGTTTGGCTTCAAATGAAAAACCAAAGGAAACCAAGCACTCTTTGGGCTTGCATTGAGACGGACCCAACTCAAAAATGCCAAGCTGGAGCAAAACAGCTTCCCATGCTGGGACCCACCGAACGCCGCAGTGTCAGAGGGTGTCCAGACTCAAAGGGAAGATTGGACATATTGGGCTGTATGGTGATTGTAAACCGAATTTGTAAGTCGGGGTGGCTTGGGTGTCCATAGTAAACGCCCGCAATGCTCCAGGCGCCTGTGGAATATTGGCCCATAAGAAGAATCATGGGTGCGGAGGCGAAATCCGCATCCTAAGTGCAAGCAGAATGTGAAGCACGCGTCAGTCAATGTAGCTTCTAGATGTGTTCTAAAATGGACGAGCCCCACATGCTTGGATTGCACTCCTCCAGTATTGGTTTGAAACACCCAAGTCGGCCGGTTTACTGCTTTGTGTTCAGGGACCCCAACCCAACTGCTTGAATGATTCCCCCGTGAACCGCAGTTTTCTTTTCGCAAATGCAACGAGTGTCGGTCAGCTCTGGGGAATAGAACTGGTGGAAAAGGTGATCCTTCTCAATGGGCAAGAGCTTGCTGCGGTAGAAGCCCTGGAGCCCAGCGGTCACGGAGTCATACACCTGGTTCACCTGGACCAAAGTTCCCTGTGGCCCCAAAAAGCTGGGGAGGGAACACACCCCTCCCCCCCCAGAAAAAGTCAGGAAAGGCTCTTGGCACTTTCTTAGAAAAGCTATTCTGGTGGCTAGGGGGCCCTCATGATTGGCTGGCCCTACTTAGCCACAAAGAAACTCAATAGATCGGATGATGTTGATACCCACCATTGTAGGGGAGAGATAGGCAACGCTCTCTTTCGGGTCTATCAAACGAGGCTTTGCCGCTGCCCTGCCTTGACCCCACCGCCCTTGGATGATGAGTCCAGCCATTCCAACATGGCGTCCGATGGGCATTCAAGGCGGGTGGCTTACCTGTGGCTTCGCTTGTCGCTTCACGCCAAAGTTGGCATGTTGCCTGCCCACCAACCGATCTTTGGCTGTGGTTGTGGGCACACCTCAAAACACCATGCTTTTGAATGCCCGTGATCGCTGGCATTCAAGGGCATGTTAATTTGTCCAGACCAATGTTGAACATGACGCTCTAGGATTCTCACATGCCAGCGTATTGTCTGTGCTTGCAATTCATTGGAGCATAGCTACTTTCCATTGCTGTCCGGCGCGTCTGTCCATGTCTCTGAGGAGCCTTTCATGAGAACGAGGCAACGCCAATCATTGCGCAACAAGAGCCAGCCTTGCAGCGAAGGCGTCAGGTGACATTTCGCAACTTGGTCTCTTGCAATCATTCCTAACTAACCCACTCAGGTCAGGCCGTTTTGGCTTGCCCAGGCATCTTGCCATAGAATCGATGAACACCTGGCGATGCTGCATGCAGCTACCACAGTGGCATGTTGTCAATTTTTGTTCATGGTGTCACAAACATTGCAGACAACTGGCTCCCAGGTAACAATTACAATCTCCAGATCAACCCGGAAACCACACCCAGGCATTTTGAGGCGCATTCGACTTTTGAGGGCTCTCCGTTTTCTGGCTCACTGGCAGTGGTTGGAATCTCTAGGTTTCGCTCAGTGCACTTCGCACGGAACTCGCGTTTTTCATGATCGCGACTGGTTGGCCTGATTCTTTGCAAAAGTGCACCAACTTTCCAGGTATCACTTGATGATGCCAAGGACTAGACAAAGCTTCCCTGACTTTCAGGGTCTTGTTCGCAAATTCCGGGTCGACCTCAATGCCTTGTCAATGGCCCCTAGGCCCCCCGGCCTGACAACAGGTTGCCCGTCCAAGACCATATCTGCGCGGCTGCGAGCCCCATTCCAGGTGGCCTGCTAGCAGCAAAAAACGACAAACAAGCTCGAGGTTCTACTGCAGATTTGTAACAAAATATTGGCTCTACTTGAAAGCTGGCATGTTGGCCCCTCGTCAGCAAAAGGGTTCAAGCTTGACAAGCAACCCGGCCGGAATTATATGCTTTCACCGGAAAGGATCACTCTTGTCTCACCCGCCTTTCGAAGTCGTAGCGGAAAACCAGCACAGCCGCTGTTCCTGGATTCACGGTGGGTGCGATCATGTGCAAGCCTTTGGCTTTTGGCCAATCAATATCCTCACCAGCATGCCACGACTTTCATCGAACCTCATGTCAATGTAGATCCTTCCCAGCAGTAAATGCATGCGTCCGGCCGTGATGCCGAAACCTAATGCGATGAAGGAGTCCAGTGCCGTCCGCTGTCTTTTTCGGGTTGCCGTCCAAACAAAGACAGGAGTGGCTCGCTTGCTCCAAAGAACGAGTCCTCAGAGGCTGAAAAATGCAAACCTATTGTGCCGTTGATGGGCAAAAATATCGAGCACATTGGCATCCCCATCAGAGCACGCCGCATGCCGGCGGAGCCAGCATGCCTACTTGGAGTCAAGGGAGAAATTCAGGGTAACATTAAATCTGCCACAGAATATCTCCTATGAAGTTCAAGTAGTTTCGTGGGCCACACATTTGGCTATGATTTTTTTAGGGGGTCTGTAACGCGCGACGCGCCACGAATCTTGTTACGGAGGTCTGTAACGGAGGTCCTTGTTACGCAGGTCTGTAACGGGACAAACATTTCCTGACAAGAAGTATCAGTAGCACGACGTGGCGCAGCACAACGAGGTATGTAATGGCTATGTAACGAGGTCTGTAACGAGGCAAAGCAAAGCGCAGGACGCAAAGCGCGCCTCCGCAGCTCCAGCTTGATTGCAGCTACTCAACGCAAGCCAAGCTGCGGCAAAAAGCGGGGTCGCTGGCCCGGGCTGGGGGTTGGGTCTGCAACGAGGTATGTAACGGCTATGTAACGAGGTCTGTAACGAGGCAAAGCGAAGCGCAGTACGCAAAGTGCGCCTCCGCAGCACCAGCTTGCTTGCAGCTACTCAACGCAAGCCAAGCTGCGGCAAAAAGGGGGTCGCTGGCCTGGGCTGGGGCTGGGTCTGCAACGAGGTATGTAACGGCTATGTAACGAGGTCTGTAACGAGGCAAAGCAAAGCGCAGCACGCAAAGCACGCCTCCGCAGCTCTATTCAACGCAAGCCAAGCTGCGGCAAAAAGCGGGGTCGCTGGCCCGGGCTGGGGTTGGGTCTGTAACGAGGTATGTAACGGCTATGAAACGAGGTCTGTAACAAGGCAAAGCAAAGCACTTGATTGCAGCTATTCAACGCAAGCCAAGATGCGGCAAAAGGAGGGCAGTCACCTCACTGGCCCGGTTTGCTCATCTGAGGTGTGTAACGAGGGCGTGTAACGAGGGTGTGTAACGAGGGTGTGTAACGAGGGGTGTGTAACGAGGGGTGTGTAACGAGCCAGCTGGTTTTGTTACAGAGGTCTGTAACGAGGTTTGTAACGAATGTCCGCCGCGGCTCTGTTACAGACCCCTCAAAAAAAATCACTGCCATTTGAGCTGCCAAATGCTGATACTAAGAAATCCATTGAAACGCTTGACGTTGCCAAAACTGCACTTGCGAGCGCGCGAACAGTCAGTGGGCAACCTGCTACTGACTTGTTATCATCTCGGCACACACCCTTTCGGTCTTGCAATTCGAGCAGTGCCAATTGTGCAGATCATGCGGGGAAGTTTCAATGCTGCCGGGCTGCGGTCGTAGCGCCGATTCGCAGCAGTGCGGTGCAACAACCTGACTGCACTGGACACTTCTGCTTGGATGGGCTGGACGTCAACCAAGTTGTTTGCCACCATGGCTTGACAGGGGACCAAGAAAGGATCACACCACAGCAAATTCTGCTGTGGGGATCACCTGATTGACAGGTAACATTTAGCTTATGAGAGACCATTCATCTGGAGGGCTCCAACTTGTTTTGACACATACTCTGCATCATGGAACCCCCAGCACCATTTCAAATCGACTTACTTTTCGGATGTGTTCGATGTCAATTTGCAAGATACCCCTTTAGCCTTCGGTCCGTCCGCCTCGAGTCGTATAGAAGGGCATCCCCAGCTGCAAGCACAACGGCCTGCCAGGGCGTGCAGGGCCGCTCGTGTGTTGAGCTCAATTGAGCCTTGCCCAATACCTATTCATGTGTTCCACCAAGACGAACAACACGGTTTGGGACTGGCTATATTTGGCTATCTCCATTTAAGCATAAACGATGGCCAAAGTCGTGGCCGCTGAATTTGGGGACTCCCCCGGCTTTTGCTGCGATTGTCCCTTACTACCCTCCAACTACACGGGTTTTGATTGCTAATTGGATTCTGGACCGGGCTGGCGTGCGAGCAAGGGTCATCCTGTCAAGGGTCAGAGGAAATCGAATTGAACACAAATCCATGGGGCTCAAGTCTCTTTTGATTCTTTGGTGAACTCACATTTACTTTCCCGATGAACATGAAACCCAACAAACCTCTTGCACAATCTCCTTTTGGGATATCCCCCGTTTGAGGTCCAGATTTCTTTCCAGAAGCGGCAGTGAATCAGGTTGATTGAAACACGGCGGGGTCCCTAGGTAAATCAGGGTGTCAGTCTACCTTGGGTTCATCAAGAAATGGAACTTTGTAACCCCCGTAGTTCCGACCGATAGCGGCATCCGCTCCCGGCTGGCGCGCGCACCGGCTGCCCATTCGCAGACAGCAGGGAGGCGAAGAAAGCCGCGACGCGGGAAGGAATGCTCTCCTTGCAATTCAAGCTTCGTGTGTGTTTCTCAAAGGGGTGCCCTGTGGCATGGAAGAAATCAATCGGAAACTAACCACCTGGCGGTCTGTAATTTGAGAAACACCTATGTAAGAACCAGTTGAGCAGCACAGCCCCATCTGCGATACTACTTTTAAAGGAGTGATGTTCAGACTCACAGACACACCCCAGCTTTGATACTCCCTTGAAACCGTCAAAGTTATGGGCTCAGTTTCCAACCATCCAGCTCAACGATTCTACTTCCCGAACCTGAAAAAAGAAATAAGACAGAACGAAATCCCCTAGCAACAGGCCTTCATCACGTGTGAGCTCTTTTTACCTGGTGCGCTTGTTTTCTTTCTTGTTTTGTTTCTTTTTTTTTTCTCCGAGGTCCTGTTTGAAGAGATGGTGCGATCCTGGAAGCAGAAGTGTTGCGCCCATCTCCTGGCGAGCTGATCCCTTGGCACCTGATTTTGAAAACTGGGATCGATCCGATCACTCGGAGTTCAGAACATGGAATCCTCGCAACAGGCACCAGTAATTCTGGAAGCACGGTTTGCATGTTTGAGCAAGATCTGGAGGGTTGTGCTTTACCAACAAGCTGGGTACGTCAAATAGGGCAACCCCGTGTTGAATGGGTGTAAAGGGAAACGCAAACGAGATGAATCACGAGGGAATCGCCCTATTTTTGAAATACACTTTCAGGCCCTTTGGTCGACATTGACACGTGATTTACCTCTTTCCAACAACAATGGACGGCTCCCCAAAAAGAAAGTAGTCTTCCAAAACCCTGGGTATGCCCACCAACCCTTGTTTGAGGTCATACTGGAGGGGCGCCCAGGAGGCGTCCTGCGGTATCGCTGTGAGCGGCACCACCAGGGTCAACCCGGAGGACGCATTGTCCACGTGCCAGAACCTGATTGAGATTGCAGCCAAAACAACAAGACACGCACGGATGCAAGAGATCTTGGTTCCATACTATCTTATGTCAATGTGGCTCAGGACCTTCAGACTACTTTATGTGGGTTTGTCTTCGAATTGGAACCCCCCCAAAAAAAAATGTGGTTGCCCGTGAAAAAAACACAAAAAGGGCACCATGAAAAAGGACACACTCATATATGAAACTAACCTGCTAGATCTGATTAACACGAGCCAGGCGGGATATTCCGACAGCCGTGCACAGGCTCGGGCTGATCCACTGCGCACGGATCCGACACCATCAACTGCACCTGCGCAGCCAAAACTCTTTTCATACCCTCTCCCTGCAAATGTCTGGCCAAAATAATGCGGACATTTGCCTCCTCATTGGGGGGCTTGCGTATGTTCGAAAGCGCAGGACGCTGTGCCGGCCTCCGATACGTAGGGGCGCGCTGTCTGTGAAAGCCCAGCCTGAAAAATGTGAGGCATCGCAACATCAAGCCAAACGGAAGCAAGCGGGGAACCAAGGATTTGTGTGCATTTGTGATACACCCCTCGAGCTTTCAGGTTCCGGGTTCCGTTGTTGTGGGTTGCAAACCTTCGAATGCAGTCTCAGCCCTTGGCTTCAATCAATTGGGCTTCAATCAAATAGGGCTTGATGGGAATGTATTGTTGTCGCACGCCACAGGATAGCGCAGAAAGTAGGCACGCAATAGCCATGAACTCCCGCTCCCCAGAAAGGAACCCGCCAAACGAACATCTGACGCAAGCACTTGCACAGAAAATGCAGCCATTTCAAATCCCATAAGGAATGGACTGTGGCTCGCTGCCTGCATAGGGCCTCCCAGACCTGTAGAGCTTTCAGGTGGCATCAAATGAATCACAATGAAATCTAGTGCTTGTCAAAGAAGTCTATTAGCAGACTGTGAATGATCAACAAGGGCGGATATCTGATATCTTGGCATATACTATATAGAGCTGGGGCTGCGAGGTTTTTGAGTGTGGCTCAAACGGTATCTTCCGTGTCAGTGTTACCTCTTGTTTTCTTACAGACCTCACATGGCGCAAGCTTCCATCAAATAAGATCTGCACCAAAGGCATTGCGCCAGCTTGGGCTTCCTCAACAGCCTGCACGAAAGTGGCTGCAACCGCAGACGCCTCTCAATGCTCGAGTTTGGCCGAGTTGCTGAGTGATCCTGGGAGAAATCAAGGAGCCTTTCGGGCTTGACAAACAAAACAGGAAGGAGGAAGGAAGAATGAATGACAGGCTTGGTCCCTGTTCAAGACCCATCCGTTTGTTTGTCGTTCAAAACCGATTGGGTGTGCCTCAAAATAGGGAACCAACAAATATAGTATTGTGGTTGTGGGGGTGTCCTTTTGATCTCCATTGAAACCAACGAGTACCTGAGTACCCTCCAAAAACAAGCCATTCTCAAACCTGTCCATTTCGACATCTTGCCTTCTCGAAAGCTCTTCCCCGCAGGCAGAAGTGCTGCCGACCTGGTGTGGACACCTTGGACCGGGAGAAGTCCCTCAGGTTGCGAATTGGTTCCCAGAAGCTGGAAACCCAAAATGGGCTTGCCTTGGTGTTCCTTCCAAAGACTCTCACTTGCTGCCTGCGTGGGTTGTTCCCAAAGAATCCAAACCATATTTTGTTCCATCAAACTAAGCTTCCAAACATAATATAAGCAACCAAACACTCGAGAAGCAAGCTAAAAATTGGGGCTGTCATTCCAAGACGCGTTGACATGGAACCAGAACCTAACCGGAGGGCCCTCGTTTCGCCATTGAGAGTTCCACGGCAACGGGATGAGGGTACCTGCCAGCTACAGAACTTCACGGAAAGCCAGCCCACAGCATTGGCCCAGACCCCATAGCTGTCGGGGAAGCCCTTTCCATTCATTGGGGAGTGGAAGGTGACCCTCAACCAAAAAGCCACACCCAAGAAGGGGGAAATCTTTGTGGGTTGTCTTATTCAGTAACATGTCAAGAAGCGGAAACCGTTTTGGGCTTTTGATGGCTTTTGAAAGGAAGGCCATTTTGGGATTCGGTTGTGAAGAATTCAAGGCTCGGGCCACTGGTTCTAAATCTTCATCCTCATCCTCGCAGAGATGCCGTGTGGTCACTCCGAGTGGGGTCATGGCGAATCCTTATCAGTACAACCCTGCGGTTAACACCAGAAAACATCCCCCCACCACCGAACCAGGGGAACTCCTCAGACGAAAAGCATGGTACCAGTCAAGGGGGTTGTTGCTTAAAGATCCATAAACCATCAAAACTAGTGGTGTCCTGAATGGGAAACCGTTCTACCATCCCTACCGTCTTCAGGTCTGGAACTGCGCAAAACATTACGCCTTGAAAACATCCTGTGCCATGTTCAAAACAACATATCCTCCCGGGTGGTAGAGATGGCGACAAACCCCTTTGCAGGGAATCACACACACACAACCTGTTGAAAGGTTCCCCATTAACACACCGCAAGTTTTGCTGGTACGGATGCTCAGCACTGCGCAGGCCTGGCAATGATAGGCACTCGCATGCCAGCAAATGAAAGGCTGAGCGGCTGAGCTGCTTGTTCAAATTTTCTCTGGCGCTGCGCCTTGCCACACAGCAGACTTGGCCAAGCTGTGGTGAGAAAAGAGGGGTGAAAGAACAGATGGATCATGAACATTTCCCACAGCCAACTATGCAACTATGCGCCCCTGACCTCGTTCAATATGGCCATGGGTCAAAATCCCGTACCCCCAGTGAACATCCCAATCCCCACTGAAATAGACTAAAATGGGTGGTGCACCTACCCCAAAATGGTATGGTTTTGACCCGCAGCCATATGTTCAAAGCGCCGAAAGGTCTTGCTCCTGGAAGGGCGCCGCGGAGAACTCCCGGACCGGGGCGATCTCCGGTGGGCACTTGCCTTCGAGGGCGTGTTGGGTGAGAAACCCCCACAAAATGTGACGTGTTTTGTTCAAACCGCCCATAAAATTGGTGCTTCAAACACCACACTGCCAAGAAACTAATCGAAGAGTGTTGCGAAAAGCAAGGAGCCGAAATTTGTGCCCGAATTGGGGGTTGGGTCAAAATCAGGGGGGATTTCAATATGGGCTTCGGATTCCTTGTTCCCTCCATAGCCTCGCAAAAGACCCACTCGTGAATCCTTGGATCCGGAACACGGCATGGAAATCCTAAGTGGGGAATCTTAAGCTGGGGACGCCTACTTCTCTGTGGTTGTCTTTGCAGAGGCCACCTATTCTAGGAAGCACTCAGGGGAGTGAGAGGGAGAATGCAGAAACGGAGCGCTGAAATTGAGGAGCTGGCTCCGAGCCAGGTCCAACGCGCTGCTGTGCAGATGCATGTGCTTCCGCAGCTTGCCCACCTTGCTCTCACGAACCCTCGATCTGGGGGTGTACCCCATTTCAGGTTGATTTCAAGGGAAACTGAAAGGGCAACCCGGCCTCATTGCAGGTTCCCCCCACTTTGACACATACCCATCTCTCCATCCATCTATCTCTCTCCCTCTCTCTCTCTCTCTCTCTCTCTCTCTCTTTCTGGCTTACTTGCGTTGTCGATATATGTATTATGTGTGTCTGTGTATGTTGTCGTTTGGTTTGGGAATGTTGCTCCCGGCTTGCGTCATGTCGTTCCTTTCGGAATTAAATGCGTCCTTCTTCTGGCCTATTTCCTCGCTTGATCATTTCTTACTTACCTTTTATAGTACTTATTTATTCCCTTCTTCCTTCTTTGCCTGCCCTTCTGCATCCATGTTTGCTATTTGATGCTGTCTGTTCTATATTTATTTCATGCTCTGCCTGTTTTGCTTTGCTTATGTTTGCTTTCTTTATCTTTATCTATCTATATAATCATGTGTCTCTTTCCGTCTTTTCTTATTTCCTTCTTGCATCTTTTCCTTCTTTGCTTCCGTCCTTCCTTCCTTCCTTCCTTCCTTCCTTCCTTCCTTGCTTCCTTCCGTTGTCCCTTCCTCTCTTCCTCTCTTCCTCTCTTCCTTCCTTCCTTCCTTCCTTCCTGTCTTTCTTCCTTCCTGTCTTTCTTCCCTTCTTTCTTTTGCGTTCTATCTTTCTTTCCTTCTTTCGTTCTTTCTTTTTCTTTTCATGTTTTTCTTTATAAATGTGTTTTGTTGTGCAATTCCCTGCTTCTTTTCTTGCATTTACTTTCGTCACTTCTGCGGTTCTTTGCTTAGTTTGCTCTTTCGCCATTTGCTGTTAGCTTTGTTTGTGCTGGGTTTCTGTCTTTACTTTTTTCTTTCACATCCCTCTCTCTCTCTCTCTCTCTCTTTCATTGTTGACATGTCTTTCTCTATCTGCCCGACTCTCTGTCTCTTGTTCTTTCTCTAATGTCTCTCTCCCTCTCTCATTCACTTCGTGGAGGAGGAAATCTATCTTTGGACAAGCCCATGATTCATGATAAGCCCACAACACAAAAAGTTTAGACTGCAACTCCCCCCCAAGAAAGAAATCCAGGCAAACAGGCCTTCCATAAAGAACACTATGCAATGCTAGGACCTTCTGAAGACCTGAACGAGATTTAGCAAGCATACCTTCCTTCAACCGGAGTGAATTCACCGGAGTCACTCACCGTCCGTCGCCTGGTTGGAGGAGATCAAGTCCCTGAGCACCACAGCCCCGTGCCTGACCGCGCCCGTGATGCTCCAGCCATGGTGTGTCTCAAAATAGGAATCGGACCCCTTTCAAGAGGAAACCAAAAGGAAACCAGCTGCAAAGGTCCTCCCAATTTTGAGAACCCATGTGTTCGTCTCAGGAAGCCCCACAATGTGGGGTTGTTGTTTGGTTTCCTTGGGGACAAAAAAGGTGCCCTGATGGGATATGAACGTGCATCGGCACTTGGAACCGACCAGGTCTGACGGCTTCAACGTCTCAAGCAAAATTGTTAGAGGCAACCCGGACGGCACCTTTTTGCCTTCTTGGGACTGCCCCCCAAAAATTGGACACATCGGCGGCTCAAAAAGGTTTGGAGGGGCCTTCTTTTTGCGCCCAACGTCATAGATTTCCTGCTTGCTTCCTTGCGTCTCCCCAACCCCCCCCGGCCCCTCCCCCAAATTCCCCAAATGGAGGTCAAGCAAACAACACGGTGCCCTACAATTGAGCAAGCACCCGCGTTTTAGCAGCGCTTTCAGGGAAAACCAAAAGGGACGCATACAACTGGGTTGGCACGGTAAATTGTTCCAAGGCCCCAACGTCTCCAAGGCATCTCTTGCAGCTTGCCAGTCCTGAAAGCGGGAACTCTCCAAATGTGTGCTGGTCAAACACGGGCTTGGTGGGCGATGCTTCAGGGGAGCAATATGAATCGTCGACCTCTCTTTGTGGATTCTGGCCATAATTCTCTTCGACTTGCTGTCCGGAGAAAGAAGCGCCTTGTGACCCCAATTCCAATAAAGGAGTGCTTTGACCATATCGAATCACGTGGGGGTTTGTCTCAAAATGAGGTCTCCACAAATTGGCGGTGCTGTCCCTTTGTTTCCCCTTTAAAACAACGGATCTACCATCTAGGTGCCTTCCCAATACTGGTCGGACAACGTTGAAAGGGGAACAACCACGAAAACCGGGACACAAATTAGCACCCCTGTGTTTGCCAAATGCTTCTTGCCTTTGGCATCATCAGTTTTCATCTGATGGGAATGAATAAAACATGGTGCTAAACCGTCCTCCGGGCTCAGCGTCCGCGGAATGGAGACATCTCGGGTATCCTCTGAAAGCCGGTGCGGGGTATGTGAGGCGACTGGCTGGAAAGGCATCAAAGTTTGCTGGGCCTACGCAGAGGAATAAAATGGGTGGGGTGGGAGGGACTGCTTTAGTGTCCTAGGTCCGGCAGAAATAATTTGTTAGGTTCGGCAGAAATATGTTTCTAGGTTCGGCGGGACAGTATACGGTTCACTTTTGCGAGGAAGCTGGGTTCCCAGCAAGGTGCCTTGAGGGTAATTATGTGGGCATCTGCCCTAAACACTCTCGTAAATCGGGAGGAGGGGGGGGTGGGGGGTTGGGGGGGGTGTAGCTGACATCTATAACGAGCGCGATCGCAACCCTTTGTTTCCGAGTTGCATACTCTGCGGGATCTTTGGCCCGTGGCCCTTACCGGCACTTTATCCGACTCACCGTGAAGCGCACGTTCTGGGTTAGATGGCTCGGATCTGGGCAAATCGGACAGCTCCATCCGAAGCGCGATGTGGGCGACGTGAGAAATCCCCGGCCACCACTGCTCCAGTTACTACTACGGGAACACCAGTAACGGCAAGAGATTGGGGCACGCACATTCCACGATCCAGCGTTGCAACCAATCACGCAGGCCACGGCAATCAAGCTAATGGCTAAGTTTGGGCTTTGGGCCTTTCTTAAAATGCCCACAAGAAGCTGCCAAGTTGCTGCGCTCAACAAAATGCTTGTCTGCCCGTGCTGACCATGGTGGAAGACCCCCTGGCTCAGCTCTTTGCCACGTCGGTTCCCGCTCCATCCAGTTTCCAGGACTTCCTTAAAATCCACAACGGGTTCGAGTCCATCGGTCGCACGTTATAACCCACCATCCCTCCCTGAACCAACCCTTGACCTCGTGTACCCACCATAAACCCAGCCTAAACCCACCCTCAACCAGCTCTAAGACTCGAAGTAACCCCAAAGCAACCCTTGTGGAAAGCCTTGAAGGATATCTGAGTGCGGCGACTGCCTTGTTTCCGTGCACATGTGGGTTGGACATTCCAACTACGCACCTCTTTGCATTAGCATCACTAGCATTAGCTAGAGCGGGTTTAGGGCGAGGTTGACCTTCTTCAGAGTTGGTGGGTTTGGCGGGGAAACAAGTTTAGGGTTTGCTTTGGGTGGTTTAGGAGTCCGCTTAGGGTGGGTTCACATGGGAAAAGGTGGGTTTGGGGTTGGTTTCGGGTTTGCTTTGGCTTGGTTTCGGATGGGTTTCGGGTTGGCATGGGTGCGATGAGGACTTGTGTAGGGTTGATTCAATGTGGGTTTGGGTGTATAGTTGGTTAGGGTTGGTACCGACCGACTGACGGCCCTACAGGCCGACGGCTTCCACCGACCGACAGACTGACTGGACACCCTACCACCACGCAGAAAAACGCTTAGCCAAACTAATGAAAAAGTACACCCTGGGCGGCCTGGGCGCGGTGGGATTGTCTCTGAACATGTAAACGCAAACATAATGGGTGCTTCTTTCAGTTTCCCAACAAAACAGGCGCACATAGGGGGCCCGATGTTTTTCGACTCAAAGGTGTTCAAGAAAGCTGAGTCAGGCAATGAGGCTTCATCACCCCCGTCCTTGAGGAGGCACAAGGGCACCTGCACGAAATGCTTCGGGCATCAGGTAGCTATCAGGGGGTTCTATCAGATCGCTTGCCAGGACAATCATGTCTGTTTTCCGCATCGGAAAGGACCCCAGCTTCACCCGGCCCGAGGGCCAAACAATTGTGCTCGGGCATCTCAAGGGCAAGCTGCGACTTCTTGCGGTTTGGGAGGCGGCACCAAACGTAGGGACTCCAAAGGGACCGAAATCCCACATCTTGGCCTCGCTGCCGATGTCACGCCCGTAGGATTCATCTACCTGCGCTGGCACAAGGCTTGCCATTGGGAAAAAATACCTCGGCACCCCCGCCCCCACCTAGACTCAGGAAAGGTTCTTAGAACCTTCTTGGGGACCGCGAGAGACAAAGAAGCAGACATGGGTAATAATGGGTAATAAACCGTTTCCGCACAAGGGATCGCTAAAGGGACCTGCATCATGCAGCCAATCGCTTATACTCCAGGTCTCACAGCACTCCCCCATACCTGGTTTGGAAAATGAGAAACATTGTTAGAATCAGACCTTTAAACGCACGTCTGGGGAGCCTGCTCCCCCCCCCCCCAGCCATTTATCCCCATCGACCAAAAGTCTCTCCCGTCATTCTACCATAATTTCAACACCTGAAAAAGGGAGCCCGGTCAAGGACCTATTTGGTGAGCTCGTTCTACCATAAATTAATGATTATTCGGATGTTCCCAAAGCACGTCATAGCTGCACGCGGCTCAAAGACCGCCTGGGTTACCAGATCGATGCCTGGGAAGGCCGGTCTAGGCCTGGCGACCAGTGTCACTTGAGGGGCAGGACCCTCTCCGATCTGGGCGAACGAACGGGCGTGTGTTTTGGACGGTATATTTTTTAGGTTTTAGAGGGAAAGCAAAAGGGCAACCAGCAATATTCAGGTCCACACACAGACTCACTCAAACATCAGAACCTTAAGAATGAAAAGAAACAAATGGGATCCAAAAGTAACTTATATCATGTGATGAAGCCGAGGTCGCACAGCTGCAGGCCTTTCACACCATTACCAGCGTCCATGATTGGTGGAAAACGGGTACACTTGTTTGGTGTTTGCCGCCACTTTTAGCTGCCATTCTGTTCACCCTTCTTTTCAAAATCAAAATACAATTTGGGCGTCGGAGAAGTCTCCCGTCGAAAGCGGAAGTGCAGCTACAGTAGAACCAAGACAGAAGATGGAGCGACATCAACTCCAAGAGCAAAATCTGGATTAGCCAGCGAATTCCACCCCGAGCAAAGCATGTGGGGGCGCCCAGGTTTGGGACTGCTTTTCAAAGCCCGCCTGCCTTGCAAGGATCCGAATCCGCTCCGAACAAATCAGCTCGTGAAAGTGACTCATTTGGCATTGAGTGCAAAGTGCATCCTTTACCCGGATTAATGATGCTGTAACTTCGGATAACTTCAAGGCCAGGCATGCAGCTGGCGGGTAGCCAGACTCCAGCCTCTGTGCTGTGAGTGGCTCATCAAAATAGCCAGCACGCTTCCAGTCCTTGCAAAGCCGCTGATTCGCCAAGCTTGCCGACAGACCAACCAGCTGAGGCAGAACAAAACAAGGCAATTCTACGATTGCCCACTTGCATTCAATCAAGCCCAACTAAGAATCACGGGTCCTGCAAGAAAGGAATCCCTGCAAACTTTGGGACACCTTTGCTGATTTTACCAAGGGGCTAACATCCAACAATTCCAATGTAGCTTCCCAGTGACCATGGTAAAAACAAGTCATCTTTTGTGGGCACTCGGAGTTTTTGGGGCTTCCCGAGCGCCAGACAAACAACAACACACACAAAGAGAAATCAAGAAACCAACAACCAAGAACATCGGGCACGGACGTCTGGGGCAAGGGAATGACTTGCCTCGAGGAGGCGCTCCATGATGCTTGCTGCATCGTCCTGCGGAAATCGAAATCAGGCACGCCATGGACTTCGAGTCTATTCTGCAAGCGCGTTGCCCACACATAATGTTGGACCGTCTTTATCCCCCCCCACCCCATGGATCAGTGGAACCAGTCAGCTGGACCCTCTTCAGAGAAAATGCTGGGGGTTCGGGGAGGGACAGTACTTGCTTTAGTATCGCCAAATCCACTTTAGTATTGCCACGGTTGACTCTCAGATTCCCAGTACTTACTTTAGCATTGCCAATTCCACTTTAGTATTGCCAAGGTTGACTCTCAGATTCCCAGTGCTTGCTTTAGCATTGCCAATTCTACTTTAGTATTGCCAAGGCCCGTTATTTGAGCAACCGCCAAAAAGGTTGGACACTAAAGAGGACTCTCCAAAACAGTCACAGTAAAGAGGCTTAGGGCCTCTTGTGGGCAACCCCCTTTGCGCAAACGGTTGCCCTTACTTTTTTGTAGATAATCTTAAAATTGATAGTTTGGGGACCGCTTGAAAAGGAATTCCTGATGTTTGCCCGGATTTGTTTGCCCGGATTTGTTTGCCGTGTGTTTTTTGTCCGATTTTTTTGCCAGTCGGTGTTTGCCAGGATCTTTTCCAGGCATTCTTTCCGGCAAACAAAAATGCCACAATTGAGGACCCCAGATCCTGAAGTGCGAAAGTTAGCATTGGGGGGTCTAACGTTACTAGGTCAACATAGCATATACGTGTATATATATATATATGTACATATGGTGATGCATATGTGTGCAAACCTCCCTCCAAAACCAACTGTTTTACAAGCTGAGATAGAAGTTGGCTTGCTTGAGACTCTGTTATTGAATCTTCCAGACTCCGGAGTCACAAAAACACTTTAAACTGCATGAACGCATTTCTGGATGCAAGACTCTAGATTCTCAGGACCCTCCTTTTGAATGCTTTCAAGCGCTTTTCCTGCACTCGGCCATGAACAACCAGATCCTGAGGTAGAATTGACTCCAAAAGTGATCTAACGCGCTTCAAATAAGTGTGTTTGGAGCAGTTCTGGACTCAGAATCAAAAACTAGAGGCCTGCTAATCTTGAATCTTAATTCCAAACTAATTGAAAGTGCTTTTAAAGTATTGTACTTGGAGTTGTAGTGGACTCAACATTGAAGACGAGAGTCCTCATCATCTTGAATATTGGATCCAGACATGCCTTAAAGTGTGCTAAAGCATCTTGTGCAAATGCATGGACAGAACAATTCTCAAATTTGGGAGGTCTCAGTAGAAAAGTGAACATGAGCAGCAAATACAGTAAATACCAGCAAACTTGGTCTGTGCCTCTAGTCAAGTGTAGAAATGGTTTTCCTTGACCGAGCCCTCGAACGGTGACATCTTCAAAATCCTATTTTTAGCAAGCAGTGCTGCTGAGTTCATCGGTTCTTCACTAGGGCACCACTTCACAAGGGCACCTCTTCACAGGTGAGCCACGTCTCATGATTTGCTATGTCGTATCATTTTGGTTGCGCCACTACCTTACGCCACCTTACGCGTGTGGAGTTTCTCTTTGCGCGACACATGCGGATGTTGTGCTTACGTCACCAGCTTACGCCACCTTGCGGGCGTGAAGTGTTTGCTTGCGCACAGGTCGATATGACACGACTCATACTAAACATGTACACGGAAGTTTTGGACGCTGCTCCGGTGTGAAGGATCCGTTCTCGCTCTGCCCTACAATGCTTTGAGGCGTTGTAAAGCGATTCTCAGGACTCTCAGCTTGAAGATTGAATCCAAGCCTTGCAGGGGAAAGACACCTTGAAGCGATTGGAATAAATGAGAGTCCTCAACATATCGAATATTGATAACAAAGCTTTTTGCGCAACTGCATGGGCAAAACAGCTGCTCAAATGTGGGAGGTCTCAGAAAACACTGGAAGCGAGGCAAACATACTGTACATTCCTGGAGTCGCTTCTTTACATGTAGGGCGGGTGTCAGAAATTACTTCTCCTTCCGCCGCCGTTCCGAGAACCTTCCGCGCTCGTCCACGCCCAGTGGAATATGTTAACCGCTCGTTGCTTCTGGTTTTCGAGAAGCTTTCGTTCAGGGTGTTCGCTTGCTCTTGAAAACTGGAGAAAGGAAACGGTCAGCGCACTTTGCACGTCTCTGTGGCACGCACAGCGACGGACTTCTTTTCAAGGGACAAGGGGGACGAGGCTGCCTAGACAAACTCGTCTTCCGCACATTCTTCTGAGCCATGTTAGTCTGGAAGTTCAGAATACAGTACTAAACCGAACATTGTTTTATGACGACCCCAAATTCATATAGATTCAAGGCCGAAAAAGAAGCTCTTGAAGGCGGCTGCAAAATCGACCCTACATGTCCACCATGGGGGGGGTGGGGAGCGGGGGGGGGGATCCAATGCTCAACATGCCCCCAAATCAAGGGTCGAGATACCTGACATTGCCCTTGCGACGGTACATGCAGCACGCACAAACGGAAAAAGAGCAGTGAGAGCAAGGGGTGTGTACTATAGCAGCATTCCTGGCCTTTGTTTGACAACCCCCAACTCATCACTCAAATCAACACCTGCACGTGTCATCCATGTCGATTTCTAGATTCCAGTTTCCACCTTTGTAGACCAATGTGCTTGCCGCCAGGCTCGAGGGTGTCTATAAATGTGTTCACGTGCTCGTACCGTGGTGGACACTGGAATCGCAGGGCATCTGGGGGAACGATTCAACACGCAAAACAACTGCAAGGGCTTTGGGTCTTCCGAAGCTCATGTGAGCATTTGCTTACTATCCTCTATTCTGCTAATGACTTTGTTCAACCTTCCGCGAACCCTTTGCCTCCGCGCACATGTGTTTGTCAAAACTGCTTCTGCGGGCATGTCTTGTCTGCGAGCATGTCGTGGTTTCTTTCTTCCGTGGGCGTGTTGGTTACTTTTGCTTCCGCGGCCACAGTGTGGTTGACTCAGTGCTTCTGTTGTTACAATGGTCACTTTAGCAGCACATAAACGATCCCCGAAGCTTCCGCGAGGCACGCTCTTCTGCAAACCCTCTGCGACTGCGGTATGCACATTTTGCAAGAAGAATGTCCATCCGCTTACTTGGTACATGTGGGTAGAAAAACGAAACTCTGCGCAGTGAGCAGCACCAGTCCTGCGCCTCCTTGAGCTTTGCAATCATCAAGTCTCTCCTCAGTCATTGCTCTGCAGGGCCAGTTCTCGCAACCCCTTGGAGGAACCTGTTGAATGATTGACCATCCAAAAATTGATTCAACTGTGGAAATATGGGACGCCCTTTAGAGGCCTTCATACGCGAAACCGCACTCAATCTCTCCCTTCAACGGGTGCACGAGGTACACAATGAATTCCAAGGGGACCCAAGCTGAATTCGGGGATAGAAAGGTCCGCCAACCTCGCTAAGGTTCTAACTCTTGAACGAGCCGGTCTGTCATATTGCCACAACACGATAGAAACCAACATGCCAAGCCCAAAAGCCGACCCAAGGCACGCGCTCGATGGGGCCACGCAAGCGTCGAGCCGCACGCTGCAGGGCGTCTATCTGGGCCTGCGCCTCACGGGTGTTGGGAAGCACCTTTTTGTCAAACTCCTTGCCGCAAACCCCTTTGCTGGGGCAATATTTGCAGGAATTCATGCTTTGTGGTGGATATTTAGCATTAGGGTCTTTGGGATTCCATGTGTTCAGGCCTTTTCAATGCCTTCATTGCTCGTTTGGAGAGCCAAATGATGCCAATCACTTGGGAGGGGGCTTGAAAATCTTCAAAAGTCCTAGTTTGGGAAACACCCACCTGGAGTCAATGAGGGTTTCCACCTTCCCCACCATCAGGGGGCAACCAGCAGTTGCACATATACTTACGTATCCTATGTTTTCCTGGAATTAGTGGCCTGGAGGCTCTCAGAATCTCTGACATGTTCCGATAAAACAGAGGTAGTCTTAAAAGAGACCATTGTTGACAAGAGCAACCACCCACAATACACGCTGCCGCATGGTACATTCATGGTTGCTTCCGCCTGCATATTTGGTGCTTAGATGTATCGAGTCAATCGCATCTCGGCAACACGGATGGGCCTTCGGCAAATGCTTCGAGAGGGCACCTGGCAGTCGACATGGCCAAAGGCTCCACTACACATGTCTCTGCCTGTGGGAGAGTTTCATGGTTGCCCAGCACTCTCATGGCACATCATGGCCATCCGGGATCCTCAACGGCATAATCTTCTCTATCAGCCTTCATGCGAAACTTCGTTTATCCGGGTTTGGGTTGTGGCTCAAGTGCTTTGAAGCTTTGCGCCCGCTTGGCCTCCGAAGTCTGAGGCATTGCACCTGCGCGTGCAAAAGGCGTGTCTCGCCCTGATTCAGAGTCAAAGTAGGGGAGGCATGTCAAAGCGCTTCATCCTGTAGGCTTCCGCTTTTTCCCCAAAGGGAAACCGGATCAAAAAGGGACGTCTCTACATCCCCTTTTTCGTGAATCATGGAAGTGTGCAGGAGGGTTTTGGAATAGTCCCACCAGCTTCAAAAGGCGCCATCCACTTCCATGATTGATGGAATCATGTTTCGTCTGAGACTATATATAACACAGGCAGCTTTTGTGAAACAACGCGACGGCCTGTAGGTGCATGTAGCCAGAAAGTCGCCTTCAGGCGGCGCCTGAGTTTTTAGAGCACGTCTGTGCCACATCACAGAACTCCAGCATAAAACCAGCGCTATTTCGTGGGCATCAGCTTAATTTGACACATGCCTAAGCCGCAACACATTTGGTTGGCAGCAGCAAACCCTAGTTAGTTATGCCACTTGCCACTGTGGGTAGCCAAAAGGCACAATGTCAATGATCAAACATATGATCACAATGTGCAAATACTTCCATACACGGCAACAAGCGCTCACGCACACACACGCCCACACACACACACACGCGCGCGCACCACACACACAAGCACAAACACAAAAACGCACTCGTGCACGCACACTCGCACGCACGCGCACACATACACACACACACACATGCACACAAATTGCTTTCCAAATGATGTTTAATAGAGTTGAAGTAGAATGTAACTGGAATATAGTTGAATGATAATGCTAATGAAACTGCACGAGGGCATGGAGCATCTTTATACTTGACTTGGATTTAAAAGTAGATAGGATTATAGGAATAGAATCATGTCCCCGAAATTGAAGGTTTGTTGATGTCAACCGCAGAATGACAAGAGAGATGTTACAGGCACGCTGAAGCTGACAAAGCGTACTTCGCGTACTGCTCTGATACTGAACAGTTGCACTTTTTGAGCAGGAGATGCCAAAGCGCACTTCGCTAGCTCAAGTGATTCAGATCCCAGATTCAAGATGCTGGACAACAAAGGTCTGGAATCTTCAACCGTGAATCTCGCTTCCCTCCAGTGACTTCAACGGTGACGTTTCTCAAGATTCAAGATCCGGAACAATGATATCAAGGCAAGGAAAATGCCATATTGGTAGGCTATTTATTTCTTCGCGTGTTCATGCGTTTATAGACACATAATTAGTTCTTTAGCTCCGTGTTATTTGTTATTTTCTCTGTGTTTTTTTTTGTTTTTGTGGGGGGGGGTATATAATAATATATATATATATATTGGTATATACATATATGCATACATCTAGATTGCGTAGAATTTTATCAAACACATACACAGGTAAGACTCATGAGCAACGGCACCGGCTTTCCTTCAAGCACGCGCTAAAAGCTCCGGGGCTGCGACTTGCTGCTTCCGGACGTACAAAAAGCCTGACGCGACCGCCGCAAATTTCTGCCCGAGCCCAAAGAAATGTTCGATTTTGCGTGGCCTCAACGCTTTGTCTTTGTTTAATGAATAAACTAGCCAAGCTCAAAGTCTGCCTGAGGTCAGCTAAAGGCTTGACAACTTGGGCTCAACCCTTTCTGAAAATGATGCGACCTCAAATAGCCCCTAGTTTGGTCAACCCTCCAGGGGCGATATGTGTCAAAAGGAAAGGGGCTCTGCAAACGCAGGCAGCTTCGAAGCCAAAAGCGCAAACCTGATTTGTTGGGGGCGCAACCCCAGTTGGAGGAAACTTGACTTTGGACTTCTGCTGCTCAAGTACGTTCGTCAAGGTTTGCAAGCAACCCAGCGGCAAATCGCCCTCTTTGGAGGTCGACCACTGCGTTTTGGCTGCTTTAACCAGCTACCCGTTGCCATTCCACGGTAAGCTCCAACTGTCGCAATCTAACCACGACCGAAAGCCCTTGACCACGACATGGTTGAGGCATACTCAGCTTCCCTGTAAATGCCCGGTGGTTTGGAGGCTGGGGGTGGTTCCCATGCCTCAGCAAGAACTAGAGGCTCATAGAGGTTCAAACCCCAGACCACCAATCCACATCACCAGTTAGCAAATAACCTGATCATCCAAATTGTTTGGGTGCCCTCAAACAGGCACCCTCATCTTGTTTGGTACCTCCTGTTTACCTTGTGAACGGCTACCCCAGGTACCCGCAAAAAGACAAGAAACGCGCAACACACTCGCTGCCCCGTCCTGTGCCAAGAGCAGCCGCCGCAGCCAAGGGAGCAGCTCGACGGCCCAAGCTTCTCCAATCCGCTTTCTAAGCCGCGTGCAAAAGAATCAAAAGACCAGCGTCTCACTGATCCAAAGTCCGAACTTTTTGGCCATCGGAAGCATCAAGTCCAGGAAAGGAAGTGAGGCTTGGCGTCTGGTCCCAAAAGTCCATCTGCTAGTGCAGCGGGGGGGGGGCAAACCAAATTGTGGCTCAACTTTGGCCGAGTTGCCCCATAGAGCAAGTCGTGCCAGGCCCGGCGGAACTCCAAGGCAACACCCTGACGGGTGGCCGGGAGCATGTAACCGTGAAAGGGAACTCTCATTGCCAAGGGTACCTTTACAAGACTAACCAGCAAGCAACAGCAGCTTCACCACTGGACGCCCATGCGATTTAGCGCCTCCATGGCACCATGTAGCCTTTGGCCCGAGCTTGCACGTTCGAAACGCGTAGCCTTGTACTGAAGCTGGAGATCCTACGCCAATTGATTTGCTTAGAGAGGCTGAACCTGTAGCTTTGAATGAATCAATGGGTCCGCTGGCTGCGGGCGCTAAAGTTGTGCTAACATGGCCATGGACTCATGACATCTTGAGATGGGTCAGCGCATCTTTGTGCCCATTCGCGTTTGTGCTTGACCATCTGCTTTGCATTTGAGATCTTTTGAGCCTTCGGAATCTCGGGCAATGTGTGACGGTAAATGGCCGCCACTAAAGGCTACGCACAGCATGCAAGAGTTTTGTTTTATGTGATAAGTTGAATAGAACAAATGGTACATAAAGGGTAGCACAGGAATCGACCCAAACATGACACTGGCAACTGGATCACCACACTTCTCTCTTCGCCTTCGCGAGGGAAGCTCTGAACCTAGAAACCCACTCCATAAATGTTCGTTGAAGGAAAACGGAGATGTGAGCAAGTCACACACACAACGATTAATTGCAGCACCGTCAAAACACAAATTCCGCAATGCCGCGTACCTGTCAAGTCTTTGGTCAGTCTTATGCATTGATTGCTGGCTCAAGCTAAACAGCGTGCATTGCATGGGGTCTTGTCCCAGTGTCGAGAATCGGTTCCACACATATTTATGCAAGCTTCAAGCTAATCACGATTTGCGAATGAGTCTCCGACAGTTTTGCGCCATGAGTCTCTTAGTGGTTCCACACATAGAAAGCAAGCTCTTCGCAATGAGCGATTCTAACTGAACCTATTCTCGCTTTTCTTTGCTGAGCCCATCGCACGCCATAGGTGCACGTGTTCAGGACTGCGCTGTAGCTATACTCGTCTGGTGGAAGATAAGACTTCTGCATGTCTTCCAACAGCGCAACAGCTAGCTCCCAGTGGCCAGTTTTCTCAAATGCAGCAAGAAGTGCATTGAAGGAAACGTCATCAGGTACGAGCCTTGTGCCTGATATGTCTTCAAAGATACGAAGAGCCATCTGCCACGTATCTGCTTGAGCACAAGCACTAATTGCAGAGTTACAACTGATGCAGTTTGCCCTCACACCGCTTGGTCGCAATGAGCACACCATGGCCACAGCCTCCTGCCAGCACGCAGCCTTCTCACAAGCACTGAGAGCAGCGTTGCAACACACGACATTGCCAGGTTGAGGGTGCAGAAGTGCCATTGACTGTTCCCAATAGGCTGCTTTCTCACATGCACTTAGCGCTCCACTGGTTCCAAACACATCCTGAGATTGCCCTGATGTGAGAGATTTGACGCTAGTAGACAGCGCTGCTTCCCACTTGCTTCTCCTTGAGAAAGCACTGATCATCCCATTGCAAGCCACGCTGTCGGTTCGAACAGCTACTTGATAGCAGAGTCGCAACATACTCTGCGCATACCTCCATTGCACTGCCTTTTCGCACATGCTGATGACGGTGCTCAGCATGTTGATGTCCACCTTGAGCACTTTCTTGCTGAGGACCTGCACCAAATCCAAAGAAGCTGGCCATGGTCGATCGCTCAAAGTGAAGCTGATCGCATCGGATGAGTTGCTCAGAAGATGCTCTGCGTGCTCCCACAGCCCTGAAACGCTGCATGCCCTTGATGCGGCATCCAGACCTTCCAAAGAAAATACAAGCACCAAACACAACTGCTATTTTTAGCTGCAAAGAACAAAAGCAAGCGACAACACATTGCAAGAACAGAGCTCAGTTCCCAAAACCGAAAGGCTCTGCTTGTCGTGCTGGACAAGAGAGGCTGCCATGGTTCTCAGACACGTGAAGCAAAGCCTCGCAAAGCAAGCTTGATGCGGACACTTGCTCCATGAATGGCCTTATACCTGCGGTTTTAAAAGGGTCGTCTCAAAGGGTCGATCACTGCAACTGGTCAGCATGATAGTGCTATGCAGTGCGCCCGCAGCCTGTCCCCTGTGAATGGCCCCGGCTGTTCAGCATGGTTTCCGCTCAACAAAATCCGAAAGGCTCACAGCGCTCTCCCCACGATACAACTGGGGCAGCTGCTGCCAGCTTCCAGCAGCTCCCGGGTCGCGCATTAGTGCTGCGAAGTGGATTTTGTTGATCTTCAACTGCCGGACCTGTTGCTCGGAAACCCAGGTAGGAAGGCGGAGAGATGTGGAGAGAGGAGAAAGGAGAAGGGAGGGAAGGGAGGGAAGGGAGGGAAGGGAGGGAAGGGAGGGAAGGGAGGGAAGGAAGGGAAGGAAGGGAAGGGAGGGAAGGGAGGAAAGGGAGGCAAGGGAGGGAAGGGAGGGAAGGGAGGGAAGGGAGGGAAGGGAGGGAAGGGAGGGAAGGGAGGGAAGGGAGCAAAGGGAGGGAAGGGAGGGAAGGGAGGGAAGGGAGGGAAGGGAGGGAAGGGAGGGAAGGGAGAAAAGGGAGGGAAGGAAGGGAGGAAGGGAAGGGAGGGAAGGGAGGAAAGGGAGGGAAGGGAGGGAAGGGGAAGGGAGGGAAGGGAGGGAATGAAGGGAAGGAAGGGAAGGGAGCGGCCCGAGGCGATTTACTTGATTACATCTCAAATGCTTCTCACCGCCATCAAAAGCGGAGATCAAAAGGGCATCTCCATATAAAAACTTCAGTAAACACCACTTTTGCAATATAAACATCTGCAAGAACGAACTGCTCATTCTGGTCAAAGTTGTCATCAAGCTAGAGCCCCACAAAGAAAGACAGATTGAGCGATTTCTCTCCTATCCATTCATTACGACAGAATCACTTCACCACCATTGCAGCTGGAGGCTGAATACGTTGATTCAAACATTCTCTTCTTTTCCAGGAAAAGCAATCCACTTGAAGGCTCCCTTGTTTAGCTATACTGTACAATTGCTCACCCTTTGGTGACCCTCATTTACATTAAAATGTATTACTATTGAGTTCCAATGAATCAATCAGGCACCCCCAATTTGAGACACGATCAACACCTGGTACTACGGGGTTCTACCCAGACTCTTGTAAAAAAAAATGTGAGGATGGAGTATTTATATCTGGGCTGTTTCTTACTTGCCTTCATCTACACTTTCTGTGATCGTGACGTATTTTGACTGGCCCCATTATTTTACCATCAAGTCCCCCTCCAGGTAGGGTCAAGGAAAAGGACCCCAGCTGACCTTCATTGAGACAAAACCTTCAGAGTGGTTTAAAAGCCGCCACAGGGTGATGTTTCGAACCAGCAAAAGGGGAATACATAGGGCTCGACCCTGGAGACAAACTTTGGCCGAGAGGCTCCCATGTCTCGCAGCAAATGGCTCCCCATGAGCCACGCGCCAGCTCCACAAAGGCCACCCGCGCTGCCGAAGCTGATAGCATCCGGCCTGCACCACCCTCTTCAACAAATATGATCTATAATATGGGTGCTTCCAGAAAACAGGAAGCAAAGCACAATCAAAAGAAAGCCCATATTGCATGGTGCCCTTGTTTCGGAAATCGCCACACGATGCATGGCTTATTAATTGCCTATTGGCAACCGCTGTTCAAACTCAACGTGTGTGGTGTGTGTGTGTGTGCCGTCCGTTGGTTTGTGCAGGGGTTGGGTAGTTTTTTTTGGCGTGTCCGTGTGCATGCTTTGTCTGTCTTCAGGACCTGCCCTGTGGGTCGGTTGCTGAAGGGAAGGTAAGCCATCTTCCACCCGAGTTGTGGAGGCTTGATCACAAAACAGTGGCAGGAACTCCGTAAATTGCCCTACTTGCGGACCATGGCCTCCATCTATTTGGTGATTAGGAATGGTAGCACAAACAAACCATTCCCAACAGTACCTGTTCATTGTTTGTCCTGGTGACCGGTCGGCATGTCCGGCCTACAGGATTTATGTCACCCAATAACGTGGGTATGTATGAAAAAAGGTGACCCCAACATGGTGGCTTGCCCTTGACACCAACAAAGGGTACCCCAAAAGCAAACCCACACAGACACATAACTGATTCAGCAAACTGCTTTAGAGAACTTTGAAGGCACATTAAGGCACATTAAATCAATTCGGTGTCGCCTTCGGGACACTCCGAAGGCCTCTAAAGTAGGTCGCGCCAAACGGAAAGGTTGTCCTACGTCCAACTGCAGCCGTTTGGGCCCAGTCAATTGTATCCGTAAGCTTCGCGTGTTGCTTCCAATTGATTGGCCACAGACTGACAAAACAATCCACCAGAGTACGCTCCTAGCCATTGCCGGCTGCATTCTCAGCCATGAAAGTTTTACATGATTCGCAATCTCATCTGGTTGTTGACTTTAGTTTGATAATTGCAAATTGCAGGGCTTCACCATGACAACTACACAGCTTAAACGCAAGAAGCTGCTAGCAGCGAGGAGGACGCTAAAATTAACCGGACAGAAGAGTGCCGTTCTTTGGTACAGGCCTAAACCACCTTGGAAGAGTTTCGTTTTCAAGCTTTTGGAGTGATGTGCTTTGATGTCAAAGCTTTGTGTGGTTTTTGGGGGAAGGGACAAGGAAGAGAGAGGGAGCAGGACGGGAAGAGACTGAATATTTTTTGTAACTTTGTAGCGCTTTGAATCACTTTCAGAGAGGGGTTCGACACACCTCTGCAGTGGTATATTACATTGCTTGGTTGGTACATGCGTATGTCCGTCATGAGCTTGACACATGTCTAGTGCGTCCAAGCTGCTGAAGGCTGCTTGCACTCATCTTCAAAAGCTGTCCTGTGCCGTGGCGCGATAGCCCGCAAGTCTTGGTCAGAGATATTTCAAGCGGGGTCCTTTTGGTTGGGACCGGGTTCTGGGGTTCTATTAAAGCAAAATG